TGACGGTGAGCTGGGCCCAGCGCGGCCTTCAACCCACCTCGGCCGCGACCTAGTGGGGCTTTCCCCGGCCCCGCGGCCATGGAGAAGTACCAGGTGCTGGGCCTCGTGGGAGAAGGCAGCTACGGGGTGGTGACCAAGTGCAGGAACAAGGTGAGCGGGCAAATCGTCGCCGTCAAGAAGTTCCTGGAAAGCGAGGACGACGCGGTGGTGAGGAAGATCGCGGTGAGGGAAGTCAAGCTGCTGAAGGTGAGCTGAGGGCAGCCGGCGGGAGCGGGGCCTGCCTTTCCCAGCACAGTCGAGCCAAACCTTTTGATGGCTGTGGGTTTGAATGCGTCGGCTGGGAGACGTTTATGTCGCAGTACGGGGTCCGCTGCGCCGAGCTGGTTAATACAGAGCGTGAGCGTTGTATTTTGGAGCTCCTGCGGTTAATACAGAGCGTGAGCGTTGTATTTTGGAGCTCCTGCGGTTAATACAGGGGGTGAGCGTTGTATTTTGGAGCTCCTGCGGTTAATACAGGGTGTGCGCGTTGTATCGCCGTTAATACCGGAGCGACCGGGTCCTGCAGCGGGCAGGGGGAGCGATGCTGCTCAGCATGGCTGTTCCCTGGGGAGAGGGAGCAGCGGGGTGCGGGTCCAGCCTCTGCCGTGCTCGAAGTGCCTCTGCACGGCCTGTGTGGAGTCAGGGGGTTAAATACCTTCGTGAAAGCTAAGGTCTCCTTCAGGCAGAATAGTAACCTTGTGATGTCTGTGGTCAGAGTTTTTCTTGCAGTAAAGATGCTAGTTGTTTAGAACTGATGAGCTTGGGTGAGAGCTACCTACCTGTAGGGAGTTGTTGGGTTCCTGGGAGGCAACTGTCGTCTGAGATGCCTTTAAGGTGTCTATGCAGTGGAGTTATAGGATGGGTTTCATTTTAAGCCATTGGGTCAGTTTTGAGAGAGAAACCCAGTTGCTTCTGACCACGATTTACAAAGTATAACTGAAAAAGCCCAAACCAAAAGAGACTTGATTGGGCCCATTTTATATTTCAGTGAGCAGCCAAGCCGTGATAGATTGATTTAGCTTTTGAGTTGTAGCCTTGCAGAGTTGCTTTTCCTACTGCCTGGGTGCTGTGCTGGATTTGCCCGGCTAAACCAGGCTTGATTAGGATCTAGTCTGTTTACGTGCCCTGTATTCGGCAGGGAAAGGTAGAGGAAAGGAGCCAGAAGGTCTCTGTTGCCTCCTGGTGGTGATCGTGTCCCCTGTGTCGTGTACGAAATTTCAGTAATTGATGCTGTGAATTTGCTGAAAACGAAAGAAATGCTCAACTTTTAAAACTTGTAGGTGAGTGGTGACCTGGACACGTGACAGCGTACCTGACCAGGCTGAGTGCTGGTAGTACCTGATGCGGGTGTCTGCTTCTGGGAATGGTTTACTTCATTTTATTTTATTAACGGCACTTTCCTGGCGGGCTTGTATGAAATTCCCTGAGCCTTATCAAACAATGACTAGCCCCTAGGCTGAAGCCAGCTGGCATCCTGGCCTGTGCTGTTGGAGTGCATGATTTGCCTGATACCAGTTGCGGATGCTTTGTACCCTCCCAAATGTCCAGTCGTACTTCAGCCTGTTGCCTCCTTATGGGCAGCGTTCTGTGGTGTATCCTTATTGTGTTGGTTGGTTTATTAAAGGTATTTCTCTTCATGGGCTGTAAATGCTCTGTCTGGGAAAACAACCCAGGAGCTTTAAATAAACAGGGACTTGTGTGTGTGCTCTTCAGTGGTCTGTCATATGGTCTTTCTGCTTCCTCTCGGCTTTGTTCTTGCTACAGAAGCTTTTGCAAGTTCCTAAACTGTTCCACTGCCATTTTTTTCTGCCGTGTTCCATCATGAATACGATGCCAAGAATGCAGGGTGGCGTTCCGTGCCAAAGCATAGGTCCCTTGTTCTGCTTGCTCTTTTGACCACCTTCAGCCCTGGTGTTTGCTACTGCACCTTCTAGCAGTACTTGCAGTGTTTTCCATCTTCCTTTGTCCCACAGGTGGTATGCTCAGCAGAGTGCTTGTCCCTGTGCGTGGGCACACGTGGTAGTTCTCAGCACTGGGACATGGGTGATGTGTCTGGTGAAGAAATGAAGGAAAAGTCTTAATACAGTTAGAGCGCATCGAGGCTTTTCCTCTGATGCAGGGTGTTCTGGAGGTGGGAATACGTGCAAGCCTGTCTCCTCTCCCCTTGGCTGCCACAAGTGGCTCTTTGCAAGTCTGCCAGACTGTAGTCCCTGTGCTGTGAAGAGAAAAAAGTGATCTCTGCTACCACTGCAAGAGCTACACACCCATAGAGTTAATAGAAATGCGCATGCTGGAGCTTGAGATGCAGCTTCAAGTGTTGTCCCCTCATACTCTTTGAAAGCAGACTGGTCTGAGTCTGGATCGTACCTGATCTGTTGGCCAGGTTCGCTTAGTTACGGAGTCAAAGCATGTGCCACCTCTCAGGTGTGTTAGGAATTAACTTGGTGGCTTGGATAAATGTGAACTTGCCAAGGGGAACATTTCCATATGTAGCTCAGTAGGTGTGGCCTCTCACAGTGAAAATAAATACGTAGAGATTTAATCTTTTGGTGGTTTCTTCACTTGATTTCTCCCTGTGAACCTTTTTGTCTTTTTTTTTTTGGTCTGCTTCTGGAGTTTGGGCAGAAATTTAATTATGGCTGAAAACAGCAAAACCTCTCCAGGTCTCCTGTGCTGAAAATAAATTATTCTTGAGAAAAGGGCTTTTTTCTAATTAATCACCTTTTTTTAAAATCTACACTTTTCAGACCTCGAAAGAAATCAGGGTCTTTGACAGTGCTAGGCGCAGGTAGGCTTGCACTCCCTCTGGGCTGGCAGAGCGTTTGCCCTGCAACTCCCATGCTCTGCAGTCCTTTTGCATCTTCCTTGGTCACGATCCCTGGGCGATGGCGCTGCCTTCAGGCAGCCTCCGCCGATGCTTCCCTGCCAGGCTTCGAGCTAATAAATAACTGCGCACGGTAACCTGGTCTGTTTTGTTCAAGTGGCGTGTAATAAGCCAGTGCTACAGACGTGTAACGAGTTGGAGGTGGATTCTTGGCAGGTGAGAAGGTGAGGGCAAAATAACTAGAAAAAAACCAGCGTGGGTGGATTTTTTTTTTTCTTTTCATTTAAGTTGCAGGGTTTTTTTCACTAAACTGTCTTCCGCTGCCAGCGTGGGTAGATTTTTTTTTTCTTTTCATTTAAGTTGCAGGGTTTTTTTCACTAAACTGTCTTCCGCTTCCCCCTCTGCATAATATTGGGGAAAAAATCTCCTCAAATCCTTGGCTTGTCAATTCTCACTCCGAATCCAGTAGACACAGTTTAATAGATGCTGTTTAATTGTTAACACTATTATGGGTAAGGATGCTGAACTTCGCTTTTAACCATTCGTTGTGCTCGTCTTGTGGCACACATTAGTTACTGTAAATGTGTATAAGCTGGCAGCCCCAACAGAAATGCTTTGGGCATGGCAGGAGCTTAAAACTAAAGTCTTCTATTGGCCTTATTAGAAAAGATTACGATACGGACACTGAGCAGTCGGTGAACTGGCAGCTAGGTAAAACAGAGAGGTGTTGCATCTGCTTTTGGGTTTCTTATAAATGGGAACATAAGAGAATTTTTAAAACAGGATCTAGAGAAAGGAATGGCAGGAAAAGTAAAACTTCATGGAAATGTTAGAGAAAGAGGAATCAGTTTTGGGTTGTTGGGAGAAACAAAAAGTTTTCTTGAAACAAACCACTGAGAGCTGCTTTCAGCAGTCCTTTGAATCCTGTCTGGAAGGGGTAGCTGGCGTTGCTCCTTGTGCCCTGCCCTGAGGGACCAGGCAGGGTAGCACAGTGTTACTGGGTCACCTCAACAAGAATATGTCCTAAGAGAGTCTGAGTCAGGGATACAGCCCAGTGTTATGGGAACAAACTGCCTTTATTGCTGTTTGAGGTGTTTGTAAGCAAAAGGGGTCTCTGCAGCTCACCAGTCAATGGCTAAATGCCCTGGGCTTCTAGTAGTGGGGCGAGAGGTACTTGGCAGCATGCTGAACTTTCCAGTACAACCCATCCTGCTTTGTCTTTCCCGCTAGCTCGGCGAACGCTAGATTTTCCTTTGCCATGGCGAGTGTTCGTGGGAGATGCTGTTAGGTGCCTGCTGTCTCTCACATGTCAACCACACGCCCCCCTGGAATTCTTTACTTCCTCAAGATTCCTCTCAGATGGAACATAAGCTTGCTCTAAAGCCTGTCAAGATCAGGGCTCGAGTTAGCGTCACTTCGTACGTGGGGAGAGTATTGTGAGAGGCAGAATGCATGAGATTTTTCCAACAACAGAACAGTGTCTTTTGAGTGTTCCCCTTAAGAAGTGTTCTTAATCAGTGTTTTATTTATTTTTCAGTTACAGAAACAGGTGTCTGCATATATGAGGTGATGGAAATCCTCCAAACAATGTTAAAAAAATAAATTGGCAAAATAAATCCTATTCTAAAATAGTGGTGAGCTAATGTTAAGAATAAATGGATGCGAGTGCCATGGCAAGAAGAGCATTCCAGAGCCCTGCACTGGCTGGGTTGCAGTTGAAAATAACTGGTTGCAGTTTACCCATGATAAGCTGTCAAGCTTTCACAAAATGTTTCCTGTTTTATAACAGCAACTCAGGCATGAGAATCTCGTGAACCTGCTGGAAGTGTATAAAAAGAAGAAACGCTGGTACCTGGTGTTTGAATTTGTGGATCACACAGTGCTTGATGACCTTGAGGCTTTCCCGAATGGACTGGAGTACAGCAGGGTTCGGAAATACTTATTTCAGATTCTAAGAGGAATAGCGTTTTGTCACAGTCATAATGTAAGTATGTGTAAGAAGTCAGCTCTGCCGTTAACCTTGAATGAATAGCTACAGAAGCACGTGGTTTGGATGTATATTCAAACTTAGAGAAAGAGAGCTTCGGCTGAAAAGGGAGAGGCAGAATAGAAGGGCCAGACTGAATTTCTTATACAATGTCAGAGCTTGATGTCAGCTAATCCAGTAGTCTGTGTCTGATTTGTGAGCATGTTGCAAAGGAAAGCTCCAGAAGTCTGTGGGGATACAGTACTTGGTGGCACCTTATTGTCGGTTGGCTTGTTTTGCCGAGGGAGGTAGACACTATCAGAATCAAACCTTTGAAAGAGAGACTATCTAAGACGTGTGGGCTTTCTTTTTCTCTTCAGTATTTTATGTTTTTGTTCTCAGCTGATTTCTAACAGGTTTGCCAATTTAATCATAGCTCTGTAACTATATATATAAACACACGCACATCTATTTCTTTATTTTTATGTTTGTGAACTGTCTCTCTTGTGAATTCCTAAAATACTCTTATTTAACCACAAAACATGCCCATGGCCCTTGGAATACTTATAGCTTTTAAACTTGTGGTCAAAGCCAGATTTTCAGTCATAATAAATTGTGACTGTTAAAATATCTGTAGTAAATACACCTGCAGAACAAACGTAGAGGTATACATAAAGGCTTTTGTGTGCAAAAATTAGAGGTTCTGTGTTTACCTGCACAGGTGTTTACCTGTGCACTTGGGTCATTACTTCTTCATTGGCTACGTGCATGGAGCTGTCTTTGACACTCTGTATGTTTCCTGTGCCTGCAAAAATGTAATTTTCTACATGGATGTGAGAAAGCTACTGGTTTTGGTGAGCCAGTCAATTTGCTGTGTAGAAACGGGGAATTCATTTGTCTTGACTTGCTTTTCTCTGTGCAGATAATACATCGGGATATTAAGCCAGAGAACATACTGGTTTCCCAGTCAGGGGTTGTAAAACTATGTGACTTTGGATTTGCCCGTACCTTAGCAGCTTCCGGAGAAGCTTACACGGACTATGTGGCAACCCGGTGGTACAGAGCTCCGGAGCTGCTGGTGGGAGATATCAAATATGGCAAGTAAGGCTGCGAAAGGGTTGTGGGGAGTATGGAGGGGGAGCTCTGTTTTCTGGGGAGGGAGGGGACTACTGCTTGGCAAACAAGTTAAAGGGATGCTGTTTGGCATTCCCTGGTGATTCACTTCTAAAAGGTTTAAGCCTTCCTCTTCTCTCTCCCACTCTGCAGCTAACTACTGCTGGTTCTAGGCTTTCCTGGCTCCAAAGGAAAGGAGAGCGCTCAGCACTCCTGTGGTCTACAGGAGATTATTGGTTCCCGATGCTAGTACTGCAGGCTATGATAGATTTCCCTCCTGTGCAGTTGGAGTCATGGAGGGAAGGCAGAAAAGTCCCTCCAAACAATTCTAGACAGACATTTCAGGAGGAAGGAGGTGGGATAATTGAGATTTTTTCTCACTGGGATCCCCAGTGGCACAAAACCAGGTCAGGACTTGAACTGTGTTATTCACAGGTCTGTTAGAACAATTGTACGGGTTTATCTGTGTCCCTGGGTTACTTAAACTTAATTTTTGCTAAATGTACCTGAAGAGCAGATGCCTGCAGAAAGAGGAGCTGCTTACCTTTATGCTCTCTAAAGTGCAAGATTCTACTCATATGTTATGTTGTATTAGTATTCTTCAAGCATGGTGTTTTGGAACCTGATTTTACATCCGTCAGGCTTCTGCTAGCATTTGCCTGCTTCACGAGCTGAATTGTTGCCATTCATCGCCCAGAAAACAGCTGTCTTGCTCTTGAGGGGGGCAAAGCTAGCTTTGGGGCTTGTAACCTGCTGAAGCCATGCTGTGCACTGGCCTGGCTCAGCCTTTAGATCCAAGAGACAAGTGAAGCTGTGCTGAGCTGGGGTGGTGATGTTGTTTTTTCCAGGGCTGTGGACGTATGGGCTATTGGCTCTCTGATAACAGAAATGCTTACAGGGGAGCCCCTCTTCCCTGGAGATTCAGACATTGACCAGCTCTACCATATCACCAGGTGCCTGGGTAAGAACAGCCTGCTGGGCTCCTAGTACCTGCTTAGTAATGAAGGGGGAAAATACATTTTGATGGGGGGATTAGGGCTTGGGGAGAAAGGCTGTGGCATGTGCCGAGCTACTTCTGAGAGTGCGTACTCTTAGCTCCTTTCACAAAAGGGGAGCCAGGAGCCAATGAATACAGACAACATCAGTTCATGGCACACAGGTGGAAAGAGAACAACCCGGACTGTAGCCCTCACAGTGGTGCTGACCCAATATTTCAGCCTCTCAGATGTTTCACGGGATTGTTCCATATTTCTTCCATGTGGTTGCTTTGTTTGTGTGATTCCAGGTAATTTAATTCCAAGACACCAGGAGTTATTCTATAAAAACCCCCTCTTTGCTGGCATGAGGTTGCCTGAAGTGAAGGAGGCCGAATCTTTGGACAAACGATACCCCAAGCTCTCTGCTGCAGTGCTAGATTTAGCCAAGGTAATTAACTGGTTGTTTATCTGTTTGTTTGTCCTTTACCTTGGGGAGCTGAATACACCCTACGGAAAGGGTTGGAGATGTTAAACCACCTTTCTCTCAACGACCCATGCAATGAGCAACAGCTTGGGTTGGTAGCATAGTGAGGACTGCAAGGATATGACAGCCACCATCCTGGGTGACGGGACACTACACCAGTCTTCTCCAGAGCCGAAATGGTCACTGCATATCCTCCAGGGAGTATTAATAGCATATAGTGCCCTGCTGATGAAGTTTTCTAAGGAGGTTTGACAGCTGAAGGAGGACTTGTGTGCTGTGCACAAGTACACCTCACTGCCTGTACACCTTACTGCATCAGTTGATGTTTTGAAAGGTCTCCCAGCAAGCTTTGCCCCTCGTCTACTACCTAAGTGGATGCTTGTAGATAATACAGAGCCTCTTACATACTACTTGCTAGCAGAGCTGTGTGGATGTAGTGTTTTCTGCCAACCCTCCCTCTACCCACTGGTGGAGTCACTGCAAGCGAGTAATCTTGGCTGGGATGGCATCCAAATGTGTCCCTTCCTCCTGGAGCCGTGTGTCTACTGTGTGGGAGTTAGGAAGCCTACAACTTCGTAATAGATTCTGAGGAATCCTTCGTGAGAGTGGTTTTCACCCAGCAGCCTGGAGCACCAGTATGTTGGGTAACTAAACCTAAACCCCACGTGGTTGTATTTGAAATGCCTAATGATCAAAACAGGTTCTAAAGTTGTAGCAAGGAATGTAACTGAAAACAAGGGCGGTTTACTGAGAGCGGGGCAGTCTGTTTGTATGGCAGGTATTCCCTGTACAAGGAGTCTTTGTGACCGTTAGCCATTGGAATGGAAGCAGCCAGCAAACATTGAACTTTTCTGGTAGCAGTGTCTCTTGTGCTCATCTCGAGAGAACAGGCCCTAGAAGGGGGACTTTTGCAGCTATTTTTCTTGACTCCACTTGGAAATGCTACAGCCCTTGTTTTATTTCTAATGTATTCGCCTTCTTCTCATTGATTTGACAGAGGTGCTTGCAGATTGATCCAGACAAAAGACCATCCTGTGCTGAGCTCTTGCAGTGCGAGTTCTTTAACAAGGATGGATTTGCTGAAAGGTAAACAGTTCATTTCTTGCTCAAAGCAGGCTAATATTAGAAGGAAGTGAAGAAGTTGAGTTTGAAGATTGCCTGCTGGCTTTGCGGAGCTGACAGCTGCTGAATGTCTTGGGTTTGTTTGGTTTTAGCCTTCCTGGAAATGGAAGAACAGTTGAAGGGGAACGCATTGCAGCGGCATGTTTGCCTCGTTACCTTACCATGGCATTAATTCATCAGCGTGCGCGCCCAGCGTCGCACCATATTGGGTAGTATGGGCTTACCCCGTATTCACTGTCTGCAGATGCCAGACACCAGACTGGGATACAAACACCTTCACTGCTGTAATGTGAAAAGCACGTGCTTGTAAGATTTTATTTATTTCAATGGATACATCAGATTTGGCTGCATTCTCATTAGTTAAAAGGCATGGTTTATGTGATTACTTAAAAGGGCTGTAGGACCCTGGGCTGAACACTGCCTGATGATGATATTGAGATTAACAGAAGCTTTTCCCCCCCCCCCCTTATTTGGAATGTAGATTTTCTCAAGAGCTTAAAGTAAAGATTCAGAAAGATGCCAGAGACCTTCAATTACAGAAAAAATCAAAAATCAGCAAAAGGGACAAAGATGATGTGTTAGAAGAAAGAAAAATGCTTGCTGTCCAGGTTGGTCCATCTTTGATTTCCAAACCTGTTTGTGTTTGGGTTTTTTTCATGTTTTAAAATCACACTGTAACTGTGTGCAGCAGTTTAAGTTCATAACAAAAAAAACAAGCATAATTGACCCATTTCATTTTCTAAAAAAAGACTAATTAAGTGTGATGTGCCAGAGAAGCTCACATTTGGAGGCCACTCTGAGTCTGAAACGGCGCTGAAGACCTTGTCGCCTGATTCAAGGCTCTACATGGGGCTCTGTTCTTATTTCATGTCTTTGGAAGTGACACAGGATATGGCTGGTCTTCCTCCATCATTTCCGCTCCCATTCTAAGGTGACTTATTTACAGAAGGTGCTTGGAACCCTGGCAAGTCTCCTCCTGTTTGATGGAAAAGAGGGGTTTTCTGCTAAAAACAATTCCATCTCCATCAGATCCTTGCAGAATCATGCAAGGCTTAGGCTCTTGACCTTTTTGTTCCTGCATGCACTGCTCTGAGCTGCTTTTCAAACATGACTGTGAGAGAAAGATGATGCTTCTCTTCCCAAACAGGATTTCAGCATTGACCCAAAGAGCAGAGGTGCAAAGCTATTAAAGGCAAAGCGCTGTAAAGCTGATGCAGAGAAAGCAGGCCGATCCTCCAACCTGAGCTCCCTCTGCGACACTGCGATCAACCCATTTAAAATAAGCCCTCAAACCAGCTTAAAAGATTCCAGCAGCAGCTTGGACTATGCCAAGAATGTGGGCATTGTTATCCCTCCCATCAACCAGAACTTTTCTCCCACTACAGTTGGGATGGGTCCTGTGCCTGGGAACCGTAATTACAGGTATGGGAGGAGAGGTAGAAGAGTTTGTATCCATCGTCCTTGTTGCTGAGGAACTGTAATGTCCTGACAGGGGTGCAGGGTGACGATGTGGGAACCCGATATGTGGATTTGGGACAGGACACAGATAGGAACAGCTCTTAGGTGGGGGATTGTACATGGATCAGAAAGACCGGCTTCACCTCAAGCAGCCGTGCGTGTCCGCAAAGGCGGAGGGTCTCTGTGTCCGCGTGTGGGCAAGTGCTGCTGGACAGCAGCAGTTCGACAGCTGCTGTGACACGGGCCTCTCTTTGCCTCGTGGCTTGTCCTTTGGACCAAACTTCTCTGTTAACGGAGCTTGTGAAAGATACTCTCCCCATGAGCCTTCTTTCCAAGTATTTAATGACAGTGTTTCTGGGTGTCTTGAATTTGTGGGGTTTATATTCACCGTGTTACCCCAGTTAATACAAAGTTTGGGGCGTTTTTGATTTCAGAGTTGATGAAAAGAGTAGAAAGTACTTGAACCCATTTCTAAAGCAACGGAAGCATTCTCCAGTGGGCCGCTACAGTGTAAGCTTGACGTCGGTAAGTTGTCTGTCTTTCCCCCTTGGCAAAGCAAAAATAAATTTTGAACTCAAGTACGTGTTTTGTTGTCAAGAATTCCATCTGTTGCAGCCTTCACCATAACTCCCAACCAGAAATAGCATTTTCTGTAGCCCTTTTTTCCTACGGGTGTGTTGTCTGTTATCCTTTGCTAATAATTATCTTCTATGAAATGTCTTGTGTGTGAGAGGATAATTTCAAATGAGGAGAGCACTCCAACACGGGATATCTGTGAGAATGGAAGGATATCCATGACCTTCTGCCTGGCCAGGAAAAGCAGACCCTGTGTGCTGTGCTGCTGAAGCAGAATTAAGGATTTGGGTTTAACGTGGTCAGGGCCTTACTTAGTCGTGTCATAAATGCATTAAATATGATAATGAAAACAAGTGACATGGAAAGCTTTCCCCTGCACTCCACACCTAGGCAATATTCTTTCTGTGCCAACAGGAACGTCTGCCTTTTTGCAGATAACTAATCTGAGCCATTCTCCAAGTGTTGTATTTTGTCTCTCTGAAAGCAGTCTCACTTAGATCACTGGGTTTTGGGGTTTTTTTCCTGCGGCTGTTCTGTTATTTTAGACATGTAAATGACACTTGAGCAGAATGGATTCCTTCATGCACATTAGAATCTTCTCATGCACCAGTTCCAGCTACATCAGAATGTAGCTTAAAGCATTTTTAAGCTTGAAAATAGCTTTGTTTCTTCTGTATTTTCATGAGCTGTACTTACGCCCTTGATTACAGGTTACTAATGAAAAAAACATCCTTCAGGCAAATAGGAAAAAATGGGAATTCTCCAAGACAGATGTGCGTTTGCCAGAACTAAATCATCTCCCTGAACTGAGAGGAGTGGAAGGTATGAGCTTTGATGTCCTCTAATAAAGCCTGGGTACTAAATACGTGGCAGGAAGCAGTATGTGTTACAACAGTCAGCTCTTGCTTCCTTAACATGGCATGCATTGGTTGTGTTTTGCAGCGTGGCATCCCAGACTTCTGAAAAAGGAAAATAAAACAGTTTTAGAGTCCCGTGTCCCCTCCCTTGCTGCTATTGACCTCCATAACCCAAGTCTGGCCTCGCAGCAGGTAACAAAGCAGTAAGATACTTTGTGCTGCTCTGTATTTGTTTGGTTTGGGACTTTCTGAACAGCATGACCCAAAAAATTCCCAGTGTGATTCTTGAGAGGAGCAGAACTTGCTTTGGTTTCTGAACTGTTTAAGTAAAAGGATCTGAGGCATTATACTGGGGAGAAAGAAAAGGGTCATGGATGAAACATGGGGCTCTGTTTGTGTCCCTGAGGTTAGCTAAATACTAGATCCTCACTGCAAAGACAGACAACGGGAATCGTTGCTGGTTCAGCTGGCTGAACAAAGGTGGAAGCCTGATTTACCAGAGTTGATGAGAGGCCAGGAGGGACACGTCTTTTGGGGAGAACTCTTCTGGCTGTGTTAGATGTTGAGGGGCTGAGTGCAGTCGGGAGGGAGAAAGCGTAGAAGCCAGGCATAAGGACAGAAGGGGAAAGCTGTCTCAAAGATTAGTTCCTCAGTAACACCGGGGTGTTGTTTGTGAGGTCATTCCGTAGGCAGTCACTTTGGCTACCTTGCTTCCAGCTGAGATTTGGCAGATTGTACGGGGGGGGAAGCGTTTTTGAAATCTGATTTGATCAGAGAACAGATTTAAGTTACATGTGGCATTGTGTATGTCCCTAGAACGCGGGTTCTGATTATTATGTTTATACTACACTTGGAAACTCACACTCCCTCTTTTTTCCTTTTCTTTCTCATTTTACAGCTGTCGGGAACCTTGATGCTCAATGGATCAGAAGCCAGCTTCCCCAGAGTTGAGCACTAGCCTTACGGAGAAGATCACACCCGCCTGTGAAAGGTTGGCTTTGCTTTCTGCAATGCAGCTTTCTGATGGCTTTCATTTCTGCTGCGTAGTCTTCTGGCATCTTTCAAATGGATTGTTTCATGAACACTTACCAAGTTGGGAGGTGCAATGGGAAAATCCTTTTACACTTCACATTCCTAGTTAGGACACTTAGCTAGAACGGACTTCTTCTGGAGGGCAGTGTGCAGCTCTCTTTACAGATACTGAAGTTGGCTGGGGCAGGTTAATCATTTTCCTGAGCTGAGGTGCTGGGCCTTGGTGTTGGAAATTAAGCAGCTTGTGAAGTTGAGGAAGCTTGGTAGAATAACAAAAGCTTGGAGATAGATGGATATTGATAGGTGGATATGGATAGAATAACAACAGCTTGAGGAAGCTGATAGAATAACAGAAAGGGGAAAGTGGCTGCCTTCACTTGAAGAGTGGAAAAAACATATGTACAGCACTGTCAGGTGCATCACAGAAAATGGGCTTTCTTGCAGGGAGAGAGAAAAGCCCTTTGGGGGACTTGTCAAGCTTAACATCAGGAAAAATTTTTAGTAATTATGTCATGAAATCTACATTTACTTAGTGCAGCTGTTGATACTGCTGCGCTCCAAACATGAGATAGGAGTCAGGGAGAGAAAGAGGCTTAGGAAAAGTCCTGGCTGTCTGGTTGACTTGCCTTAAGACTGAAGTGCACAGAGGCATAAGTGCACACCTTTAGCAAAGTAAGGACGTGTAATAAATCAAAATAAAGCTTGTCATCAGGGAGTACCTCTGTGGTTTTGTTAGCCTGTCCCTAACACCATTCTCCCTTTCTCCTCTTGATGCAGGTGGCTGAAACAGTGGGAACAATCCACCGGAGTTTCCAGGTGCAAAAGCTGCGAGGTCCCTGCAGGAGAGAGGAGGATCCCTTATTCTCTTGTCAGCACAGCAGAGTGCTGTGGGGAGCGGCTCAGGTCTGGGACAAGGATGGAGCTCGCGCTGCCATTGCTGCTGGATTTCTTGCATGCAAAACCGCTCCTGACATGTTGACTTTCCAGCCTGGGGCCAGGTCGTATCTGAGGTGGCTCAGAACAAGTAGTGGGTTTTGGCGTGTGAACAAGGGCAGAAGGTAGTTTGGAGAATTTTGAAGAAAGCTGGGCTTTGGTTTGTCGAACTGCTGCCCTCTTGAGGGTTTTCTTTTTAAATGGATAGAGTGAAGAGAGTAGGTAGCTGCTGAATTTGCCACGTTTCGGTGGGATACCTGGTCTGTAATGGAAAGCGCCTTTGCCTCGACAAAAAATATCAGTGAAAATAATGTTTGTGCAAGAAATACGACATTTAAATGTGTAAATGTTCCCAGTTGCTCCTTTGAAACCCTTGCTAGTGTTCAGCAGCGTTTGTGACCTTGCGTCGGGTTCCTTCTCCCTCTGTGCTGCCCTCCCCGCCCTGGGGCGGTGTCTCGCGCTGGGTGCATGTCTGGCTGCTGTTAGCGGTGAAGGAAGAATATAGGCGTGAAACATGGAGCTGTGATGCAGGTGGGCTGGGAAACGGCTTCCGTGAGCGCTGGGTAACTCACCGAAGTCGTCAGCCCCTTGGGGGAGTGCGACATGTACGGGTAAAACTTGACAGTGGCGTGTGGGGAGAAAGATGGCATCGCTCTTATCTCGGGACTGTTAGGAGACCACTTCTGCTTAACTGCCCTCATGTTGGTTGTATTCAGCTACATGGTGTCCCTGCATTGCTCACAGCTCTGTTTTCCGGCAGCTGGAGGCTGCTGTCGCAGCTCACGCCACTGTACGGTGTAGTTAATTTTGGAATTTGTCTTTCCACAGGAAGTGGCCTTTCCCGTCGATGCAGAATACACTGTGAATGTCACTGCCTTTAGAGCTTTGGGGCTGTGCTGTCTTTTGACATGTATGTTAACGTTTGTAAATAAAAGGATACTCAAATTCCAAATTCCTTGGTACTAGCACGTGCTTACAAGCGTAATGTGTGCTCAGTCTTCCCTGGACTTGGTGCTACAGCTGCTCATTCGTACTGGTGGCATTACTCCCACTGAAAATTAGGGCTTTTGAATCACTTCTTATTTAACAGTTGACATCCTGTTCCTTGCAACCATGTGCAGGCACTGGTTCCTAACGTCCCTCGGCAGCATCTGGACAGCACGTAGCTGACCGTGCTCATCCCACGCGCCTTTTACCTTTCCAGCTCGGCTGACCTTGCTGTTACATTCCCATTGCCCTGCTGCTTCTTTGCTGCTCACCGGGAACTGCACCAGGGTAGCCTGGGTGTACCCATAGCAAACGATCCCAGCTGGCCACAGCAGTCATTTAGTTAGCCATGGGCAAATGCAACCACGCTACTTGCCTAGAACGGACCTACTGAGAATTCACCAAGGCCCTTGCAGTTTGGAGCTCGCAGGCGATATGGTGCTGGTACCCTGATCCGTTTTCTGCTTTCTGTTGTTTACAAGAGCTATTTGTCATCCTTTCTTGGTTACAGTCTCTCCAGATCAGGTCTGATGCATGGTGTGTTGTGCAGAGAAATACAAGGTAACACTTGGCTTCTTCTAGGAGTTCTTGTTTCTTTTTTCAGCTGGCATATGCATTTCCCTCTTCAGATGAGCCAGCCTTTGATGCCTGGGGGGCAGGAAAGTGATTGTAACCATACAGTCCTTGTTTAGTGGGAGAGGACTTCTTTGGGCATGTACAGGGGTCAAGGCAGTGAGGGGACTAATTTCATAGAATCAC